TCAAAACAAATTTCTTCAAGATTTACCAATACTCCTTATTGGTAACAGTGGAGAAGCTTGCGGAGAGGAGCTGGTGCGTCGGTTGAAGATGATTGCGTGATTCGGCTTTGCGTTTCTACAATTTGGGTTTTGCTCGCGGGAGGTTGGTGATAATGTTGGTGGCACTTCATCGTTGCGGTGAAAATCTCGCTTCTGGTTTGAAGGAGATTTCTAGTTTTGTGGATTTTGATCTTCTGTGTTTCAGGTTGATGGTAGCTGGTGGAGAATGAAGAAGCTTCATGACGACGTTGCTCAAAGGCATGAGGAACTCACGATTCTTTGCGATGCTTGTGGCGGAGCGTTTGGAACAGTGGCGCGACCATTGCGTGATATGTTCGCGAAAGGTTTCTGGTTAGGGTTTTGAAATGTCTGATGATGGAGGTGCGAAGATGGTGGCTGGTCGTGAGAGTGGCGGCGGCTAGGGTTAGGTGATGGCTAAGGTTTCTGTGTAGGGGAAAATTAGGATTTCTGGAGGTAGGAGATGATGATGACGTATCAAGGGTGATGTGTCACTGATTGTTTTTGTGAACATTTTGTCATTACCGATTTAAACATCGTTAGTCAAAAGGACAAAATTGAACATAAATTACAATATAAAGGACTACAATGAACATTAAAAAAAAATAGTCACACATCGAATAAAGCTGACGAAAATAAGAACCATTAAACCTATTTTATTACATAAAATTGCACAACAATTGAATTTTTTAAAATATAGTGTAAACATAATTATATTATATCTCATTCGAGTTAAAATATGCATATTTTTCTTTAAGGGTCTCATGAAGTTAAATTATGCATATTTGTCTATTGAAATAGATAATAATCTTTTTTTCTCCCATTAACATAAAAATGACCAACGTGTTCATGTTGTAACCCACATAATAAATTCAAACTATTTTTTTAAAACACGCAATTAAAAAAACATTGAATTAAACAATTTTTAACTATATTCTATATTAAGAAATTTTGTTTCAAATTACTTAATCTTACTCGATCTTTGTAGTCCAATTAGGCAAGCTCACGAACTACCCTGCAATGTTCTGATTGGATTTGAGAGGACTCACTCCGAAAACAACACCAAACATTAGGATTTAATGTGTAAGGTAAATATTATATTGTTTTTCTGGTGCTGCAATAAATAATTTAACATTTAACTACCTTACCGTGTACTTATAATGTTGCCATAACTTTTAGGGAAAGAAGATGAGAAATGTTATAATGTTGTCATGACTTGTAGGGAAAGAAGATGAGAAATGTCAAAATGGTGAAGGATGGTCAATCTACCTTAAACATGAAGTCAAAAGTTGTTGGAGATGTTTGAATTTTGATATTTGTTTACTGTTTTTGGTCTCAAGTATGTTTTGTGTTTATTTAGACTTTTAACTCGTGAACAAATTAAGATTTTGATTTTAGTTTGGTGTATATTTGGACTATTGTTAAGATAGTGAGATTTTGATGCCTTTGTTAGAATGTGAAAGTGTTATGTTATGATCTTAATATTTAATCTAAGAGGTTTAAGAGTTTGATATTGTAAAAAATGTTGGTATATTTTGATTATATTCTAGTTTGGCAGATTTTAATCTAAAACAAAACCTTCTAATTGGATAAATAATTTGCCTTTTTTTATATTAAGTTTTCAAGCTTTTCCCAGGAAAAGTGAGCAAAAGTCACCTGAATCTGTGAATAGAGCATCATCTTTCAAGAAACTTACATGGCCAACAACAGAAGAAGCCAAAAATAATTTGACTTAAATACATACATGTGAACTCAATTTAAATTGGCACTAGAGAGCAAAGGTGTGGTTTATGTGTGACCCACAAGTCCAATGTTAAACAGGGAACTCAACTCAAAGGTGCAAGAAAGTTATTCTCTAGCAAGCAAAATTTCAGACTACATGTCATCATTCTTTTGGATATTAACAAGGTTAACACCAACACCCTATACAACTTGCAGTTCCAAACCAGTATGCTCATGGTTCTTGTCTGAAGAAGAAGAGGTTTCAGGATTGTCCTTGTTATCACTAGACTTCATCTCTTGAATGGGAGGAGCACTTACAATGGTTGTCCCTGAGAGAGCATTTTCAGAGAGCCTTCCCTTCATCTCCCTATGCTCTTGACACAAGGCACACCAGTGCATGCAGCAGTGTACACAACATGGATCACAAGGTGAGTTCTGCAGACATCAAAAGAACTACTGAGGAAATCTTAAAACCAAAATAGTGTTTATGCTCCGGGGAAAACATAAAAGAAAAAGGAGACAAAATCATTAAAATGTTAATTGTTTGTTCGGTTTAGCTTAGTTTGAAGAGAGACAAGTGCATTTCTTTTTTCCAACTTCACTAGAGATTTTTAGGGAAAAAAATGATCATTTGCCTGGAATAATCTTTTCCAAACACACACTACATGTTACTAGGTAACAGAAGTATCACAAATGCATTGTATATACAGAATTCTATCATTAAGAAAACATAGTTTTTCAAACTGCGTGGTTGGTTGAAGATTGCTGACATTTTACACTAAAATTGTGTTCATAAGGTTTTCATTGTTATAGATTACACACCATCAAGCACATCTGTGTTTCTCTTTGAACCAATTTTGTTCAAAATATGCATGTAAAAAAAGGTCTTATGGCATCATATTTTTTGTTCACTTGGGCAAGGCTTGGGAATTGAACAAAACTCCTACAGAAAGGAAATTGTTTTCAACATCTAATGAATTCTACATTACAAATCTGCAGTAAGAAGAAGCAATATTCTCTCAGCAGATCAACATTTGATACATACCATTCCATATTTTATGTTTCGTTGTTCAGTTGGAAAAGACATTCAACACATACATACCTTCAAGTGATACTTCTTCTGTAAGTTTTGCCGAACCTGACCAGTGTAAATGCCACACATCCACCAGGTAAAAAACAAGCCTTCAAGAATGAGAAATGATGTCCCTGGATCAATGTAACCATTAAAGATCGCAGTTGCGCTTGCCAGAGCAATGCCACCTTCGATGAAAATAGCATGACAAACGCATGGTCCAGTCCAAGGAGTTTCTTCATGCAAGCTTTCTACATTGCGCCCAAATAATACGCAAGGACAAAATAGTCCTGTCAAGCCTGCAATGAACGCTAAATAGCATAACAACCACAACTTTCTGCTTACTCATTGCAACTATGAATGCTTCTAATATAGCCATTTAAGTAACTCCTTCAAATTCTAGTGCTCAGCGTGTTCACTCTCAACTAAACATATCATTAAATACGAAGAAATTTTGATAATAAGGATTGATTAGTGGTCAAAGGAATCATATGACACTGGATTAGTTATAGTTTCATTAGAGACAATTTGACTAGTTCGATATAGATAATAGGTAACACCCTGACTCCAACAAATTTGACAGCTTGACCATGCATTAACTTACAATTTTCCCTATCTTCAGCGCATCCAAAGATCCCAGTCATCCATGCTTCATCAGCAGGAGGTGTATAGCTTTCAGGTAATGGCTGCCCACATTCCATGCACTTGTGAACAGCCAACTGCAAAGAATTAAAAACCATTAACAAATAGCTATTCACTAACTTGTATTAAAACTAACCAAACAAAGTACAAGCAAAATCTTTTCAAATTTTCATTTTTGCTCTCTCTTGTAATGTTTCAACAAATTTCACATGGTTTTGAACACAGCCTTTCTCCCTAGGATAAGATGCAAAAGGAATACTAACCCTTGTTTGGAATTCTAAAAATTTTAGAAGTTCAACCTGATTGTTGAGATTGCACAAAATATAAGTGGGTCCAAATTTCCAATAATGATATACACAGCAATTTTGGCTTTTACTTAGAGCCTTGATTTAATTTTCAAATGGGTAAAAGTTCCAAACCAGTGATTCAAAACACGCTAACACAGATTCGGGACAAACAATATACAAATTTACTTCAGAATTCACATTCCCAACACACACGACATAACAACATTTTGAGTGAACAGAATGTAAACTGATTATATGACATCTTCAATCAAGCATCTACAATCTGATCTCCCCGCCCAATTTCACATTCCACGTCTCCATCTCGAAAAATGCAAACGCACACAACACCAGACCACTTTGCTGGTTTCTTCATTCACACGACTAGGATTCACGAATAAGCAAAACTACACTAATATTGCACCTAAAATCCCTTCAACAAGGTTTCCTCATGAATATTGGGAGATTTTATAAAACAGTTTTGCTAGTGCAAATTATCAGCCAAAAAATCAAGGCTTCTATGGTCCCTGTGATCACAATTGCGACTACACCAGCCACATTAACAAGGTTTTCTCAAGAATATCTCTGTTAGTATATTTAAATAAGAATTTGCTACCACAATTTGGTCACATCACACCACAAAGGTTTTTAGAGAGCCCACAACCACACTTGCAACAACATCAACCCACATTGTCCACAATTCCAAAAATATTGAGGATCATCCCAAAATCAAGACAGCCACTGCAATTTAAGACCATGCCATTGCCAATTCTACAATCAGACAACAACCCAGAATCCAAAACAAAAGAAAAACAGAAAAATTCCTCAATGAATTCAAGAGAAATAAAAGGCGGGTATGAATACAAACCTGAGGGACCTCAATTGGCTGATTCAGTTCACCAGGCGTGATATCTTCCAAAGGAACTTGATCCTTCTTCAGCTTCACGTACTGCGATTGTGTCCTTTCCCCCATCTGATCTCAAAATACAAACCAGACTCACAAAGAACAATGATAAATCGGAGGAAAATGCCTGTGTTGGAATGTTATGATAAATAGAGAAAAATCAGAAATGTAACTTCACAGTTTAAGAGATCTAAGGAAATTGGGACAAGAAAGGAACACCAATGTTGGATAATCACGAACCGAGAAAATTAATCAGCAGTAATCTACAAATTGATTTATACATTTTAATTATTTATTAAAAATGTAATAGTTTATGCTGTAAAAGAAGTTAAAATTTCAAAATAATATAATTTTATTACTACTTCCGAAAAGAAATCAGTACCCCAGTGTGCAAGAATTAAAAAACATAATTGTATAATATGAAAAAAAAAATTTATGATAAAAACCCATGAAATGTAAAATGTGATTAAATCTTTTCATTATTAACTGGAAGGGGAAATGAGAACTCGTGACAACTATGGTTAATGACATATTCACGTTTAATGTTATATTTTTTTTAAAAACGAATAAATCATAATGTAACATCCTAATATATATAGTGTAAACTATATTAAAGAGAAGGAACATGCATGATAAAGAAATACAATTATCCATCTAAGACATAAAATGATATCTTTACAGTCATCCAAAAACAACTATAAATTTAAAACTTTATATACAGACTGAAAAATATTCAAAAACTATAAATTCAAAAAACTTTATTCAACATCACCTCCCTCCAATGCTTGCTCCAAAGAAACCTCTTCTTCCGCTACTCACATCCAAAGGATGGTCATCGCAGAAGAAAACAGCCGAAACATACAAAACACAAGCATACAACAGGGTAAGCCAGTTTAAACAAAGACTAATCATACAACAATTTATTTAACATCATACAAGCATATTATACATTCACATCACTTAAACCCTTCACACATAACACACACTGACTCTGATTGTCCGGACTTAGAATGATTGTCGAGCTATGGCGGGTCGTGCACTCGTGGTGGCTTCTACTGCTCTGCAAAGCCATTGCTAATGGGTTTCACCCTACCACACTCACGAGGTTAGTCCGTTATCACTCACCTTGGGCCATACTGGAAGCACCCAAGACTAGGACCTCCTGCTACTCCTCACGACATGGATCAATCCTCTCTACTTGAGAATGAAAGACCATTGGAGTTTCAGGATAACCCCCAAGACTAAGCTCATGCATTCATTCTAAACTTACTTGAATTCCAACAAGGGCACCACCATGGCTCCTCTCCTTGAGGATCATGGAATTAAGTCCAAACCAGACTTGAAATTTACACTTTTGATTTCAACATACTACAATCACCACATATATTACATGATACAACTTCAACTTGCTTCATACAACACTCATTGATTCATATCAAACAACATAAGAGTACACAAGACTTGAACTAGAATGTGCCTCTCACATAGCGCACACATTCGCATAGCGAGACTATAAACTTCTCGCACAGCGACCTAACTCTCCTTGCGAAAACCTTAAACAGAGACCAACTACTCTGGATCTCTCGCATAGTGACTAAACTGGCTATGCGAATAAAATATGAAAAGCATCAAACCCCAACCCCTCGCATAGCGACCCAATCTCGCTACGCAAGAATCTCATCCAGAGACTTGACACCCCAAACACTTGCAGAGCGAGACCCACTCGTTAATCGAATAAACTGAATAATAGTTCCAGACCCCAACCAGTCACATAGCAATCCAATTCGCTTTGCGGATATACAAACAGAGAGCAATCCTCTCAATTCACTCGCCTAGCGCACCCATTCGCTATGCGGGTACATTGGCAGAGAGCACCTCGCCAAGGTAACTCGCTATGCGAATCCATTTGCACAATGAGTCTGCATAATCTGCAGAACGAAATTCTATAGAATTACACAACTCAACCACTCTTTACCAATTCTACTCAACTTGGCCAACTTCTAACACTTCTAATTCGATCTATATACTAAATTAAACTTGCCTAAAGGATTCTAAACATTTCTAACACCAATCTAAAGTGTTTATGCACCAATCTCTACTCTAAACCCTCCAATACCAACTTATAGGCCCAAAACCAATTCTACCACTTGGAACCTGTTTTTGACCATTTTGATGACTCAAACCAGTCACATATAACCTATCTACACTATCCCAGCATTCACCAACAACCCTTGACCACTAATTCTCAAATTTAATATCTCACTTCCTCTAAAATACACTAAACCAACCCAAAATTCACATTACACTTTACTTCCTCAATACTACAACACATCACAGTCAATAACAATCACCAATTGCACACATTACAGCATATAGATTACTCCAAATCAACTCATCAATCACAATTCACATTTTCTACCATTTTAACAGTTAAGAGCATACATTCACAAGCGGAAATGGTAACTGCACAACACTTAATCACAGAATTCATTACATACAACCACAGCTGATAATTAAATCATAACCTAGGTTCCCTTACCTCAGAGATACACAGCCCCAAACACCAAAACGTTCCAGCCGTACCTTGCACAGCAAGGAAACTCAACAGAAACCTACAACACACCAATTGGTGATAGAGAACCACACTTAGAACCTGATTTGAGCTAGAAATGGAAGAAATAACTACTAATCACATGCAACCAGAATCATTTCATGCTCACAACTTAGAGAAGAATGGACAGAAAAAGGGAGACAACTTACTAGCTGAAAACTAGAAATTGATCCGTCCAAAATCAAGCCCTCAACACCAGGATCGCCTAAGCACTTTCTGATCATTGAACAGATAACCCAGTAAGAAGAAATTTTAGAGATAATTCAGAGAACTCTGAAGAATAGAGTTCTAGAGAGATGAAATGTTCTTAGAATAATGAGAAGTGTTATAAAAATTCTATTTATATTATAAGATTATTTTAAAATAAAATAATCTATCTCATTATTCTAATACACCAATCTTCTCTATAACACTCTATTTTTAAGATCTTTATACATATAATGTTATAAATAAATGATTTTTTTTTTATAATTTACCCACTCTTATATAAATCTCATTTAGCATCCTCGTAGTATAATAGGGTAATTTCCACATATTTTCAGTATTATTGATTATTGACCCTAAAATTAATGTTAAAAACTTCCGCTCAGTGAAATTTTCACCATTCACTCACCAAGACAGGGCCGTGAAATTGGAAGGCTGTGAACTAAAAGTAAACGAGTACAAGTCCCACATCAATTGAATAACGTAGTAGCTAGTGGTTTATAACTGTGCGGCTTTGATGGACAACTCATAAATTTGGAACTATACAGAGAAGATTAGCATGGCCACTGCGCAAGAATGACACGCACAAATCAAGAAATGGTCTAAATTTTTATCATTTCAATTTTTCAACCCTTCTATTTTATTTATTCTCTTAGATACAGAGCAAAAATCATAGATTAATAATAAAGACTCTCAAAACATTATAAGCTTTATTCAAGTCTTTCTATTTGATGCAACACTAAACCATCATCCTTACGTGATTATAGCACTCCTCATCCTCATGATGATTGAAACTAAGGCCGGCTAAGAGTGTCCACAATTAAATAGTCTTTTATACACAAATGCATAATGAGATATTATAAAAGATTTCATATACAAATGAATCATAAACAATAAAATGTTATAAAAAACATGTGAGTTTAAGTTTTTGAATAAAAATAAAAATCTATAACGTTGATTAAAAATAAAAATAAAAATCTATAAATATATTATTTTAAGGTTTTGATTGAAAATAATGTTATTCCATTATATGAATTGGGATCATGTTTTATTATTATTATATTCTTAATGAATTAATTCTTTGAAAGATTCGTTAGTGATATTATAACGATGGTACAAAAGATATATATATATATATATATATATATATATATATATATATNACGTACTGCGATTGTGTCCTTTCCCCCATCTGATCTCAAAATACAAACCAGACTCACAAAGAACAATGATAAATCGGAGGAAAATGCCTGTGTTGGAATGTTATGATAAATAGAGAAAAATCAGAAATGTAACTTCACAGTTTAAGAGATCTAAGGAAATTGGGACAAGAAAGGAACACCAATGTTGGATAATCACGAACCGAGAAAATTAATCAGCAGTAATCTACAAATTGATTTATACATTTTAATTATTTATTAAAAATGTAATAGTTTATGCTGTAAAAGAAGTTAAAATTTCAAAATAATATAATTTTATTACTACTTCCGAAAAGAAATCAGTACCCCAGTGTGCAAGAATTAAAAAACATAATTGTATAATATGAAAAAAAAAATTTATGATAAAAACCCATGAAATGTAAAATGTGATTAAATCTTTTCATTATTAACTGGAAGGGGAAATGAGAACTCGTGACAACTATGGTTAATGACATATTCACGTTTAATGTTATATTTTTTTTAAAAACGAATAAATCATAATGTAACATCCTAATATATATAGTGTAAACTATATTAAAGAGAAGGAACATGCATGATAAAGAAGTACAATTATCCATCTAAGACATAAAATGATATCTTTACAGTCATCCAAAAACAACTATAAATTTAAAACTTTATATACAGACTGAAAAATATTCAAAAACTATAAATTCAAAAAACTTTATTCAACATCACCTCCCTCCAATGCTTGCTCCAAAGAAACCTCTTCTTCCGCTACTCACATCCAAAGGATGGTCATCGCAGAAGAAAACAGCCGAAACATACAAAACACAAGCATACAACAGGGTAAGCCAGTTTAAACAAAGACTAATCATACAACAATTTATTTAACATCATACAAGCATATTATACATTCACATCACTTAAACCCTTCACACATAACACACACTGACTCTGATTGTCCGGACTTAGAATGATTGTCGAGCTATGGCGGGTCGTGCACTCGTGGTGGCTTCTACTGCTCTGCAAAGCCATTGCTAATGGGTTTCACCCTACCACACTCACGAGGTTAGTCCGTTATCACTCACCTTGGGCCATACTGGAAGCACCCAAGACTAGGACCTCCTGCTACTCCTCACGACATGGATCAATCCTCTCTACTTGAGAATGAAAGACCATTGGAGTTTCAGGATAACCCCCAAGACTAAGCTCATGCATTCATTCTAAACTTACTTGAATTCCAACAAGGGCACCACCATGGCTCCTCTCCTTGAGGATCATGGAATTAAGTCCAAACCAGACTTGAAATTTACACTTTTGATTTCAACATACTACAATCACCACATATATTACATGATACAACTTCAACTTGCTTCATACAACACTCATTGATTCATATCAAACAACATAAGAGTACACAAGACTTGAACTAGAATGTGCCTCTCACATAGCGCACACATTCGCATAGCGAGACTATAAACTTCTCGCACAGCGACCTAACTCTCCTTGCGAAAACCTTAAACAGAGACCAACTACTCTGGATCTCTCGCATAGTGACTAAACTGGCTATGCGAATAAAATATGAAAAGCATCAAACCCCAACCCCTCGCATAGCGACCCAATCTCGCTACGCAAGAATCTCATCCAGAGACTTGACACCCCAAACACTTGCAGAGCGAGACCCACTCGTTAATCGAATAAACTGAATAATAGTTCCAGACCCCAACCAGTCACATAGCAATCCAATTCGCTTTGCGGATATACAAACAGAGAGCAATCCTCTCAATTCACTCGCCTAGCGCACCCATTCGCTATGCGGGTACATTGGCAGAGAGCACCTCGCCAAGGTAACTCGCTATGCGAATCCATTTGCACAATGAGTCTGCATAATCTGCAGAACGAAATTCTATAGAATTACACAACTCAACCACTCTTTACCAATTCTACTCAACTTGGCCAACTTCTAACACTTCTAATTCGATCTATATACTAAATTAAACTTGCCTAAAGGATTCTAAACATTTCTAACACCAATCTAAAGTGTTTATGCACCAATCTCTACTCTAAACCCTCCAATACCAACTTATAGGCCCAAAACCAATTCTACCACTTGGAACCTGTTTTTGACCATTTTGATGACTCAAACCAGTCACATATAACCTATCTACACTATCCCAGCATTCACCAACAACCCTTGACCACTAATTCTCAAATTTAATATCTCACTTCCTCTAAAATACACTAAACCAACCCAAAATTCACATTACACTTTACTTCCTCAATACTACAACACATCACAGTCAATAACAATCACCAATTGCACACATTACAGCATATAGATTACTCCAAATCAACTCATCAATCACAATTCACATTTTCTACCATTTTAACAGTTAAGAGCATACATTCACAAGCAGAAATGGTAACTGCACAACACTTAATCACAGAATTCATTACATACAACCACAGCTGATAATTAAATCATAACCTAGGTTCCCTTACCTCAGAGATACACAGCCCCAAACACCAAAACGTTCCAGCCGTACCTTGCACAGCAAGGAAACTCAACAGAAACCTACAACACACCAATTGGTGATAGAGAACCACACTTAGAACCTGATTTGAGCTAGAAATGGAAGAAATAACTACTAATCACATGCAACCAGAATCATTTCATGCTCACAACTTAGAGAAGAATGGACAGAAAAAGGGAGACAACTTACTAGCTGAAAACTAGAAATTGATCCGTCCAAAATCAAGCCCTCAACACCAGGATCGCCTAAGCACTTTCTGATCATTGAACAGATAACCCAGTAAGAAGAAATTTTAGAGAAAATTCAGAAAACTCTGAAGAATAGAGTTCTAGAGAGATGAAATGTTCTTAGAATAATGAGAAGTGTTATAAAAATTCTATTTATATTATAAGATTATTTTAAAATAAAATAATCTATCTCATTATTCTAATACACCAATCTTCTCTATAACACTCTATTTTTAAGGTCTTTATACATATAATGTTATAAATAAATGATTTTTTTTTTATAATTTACCCACTCTTATATAAATCTCATTTAGCATCCTCGTAGTATAATAGGGTAATTTCCACATATTTTCAGTATTATTGATTATTGACCCTAAAATTAATGTTAAAAACTTCCGCTCAGTGAAATTTTCACCATTCACTCACCAAGACAGGGCCGTGAAATTGGAAGGCTGTGAACTAAAAGTAAACGAGTACAAGTCCCACATCAATTGAATAACGTAGTAGCTAGTGGTTTATAACTGTGCGGCTTTGATGGACAACTCATAAATTTGGAACTATACAGAGAAGATTAGCATGGCCACTGCGCAAGAATGACACGCACAAATCAAGAAATGGTCTAAATTTTTATCATTTCAATTTTTCAACCCTTCTATTTTATTTATTCTCTTAGATACAGAGCAAAAATCATAGATTAATAATAAAGACTCTCAAAACATTATAAGCTTTATTCAAGTCTTTCTATTTGATGCAACACTAAACCATCATCCTTACGTGATTATAGCACTCCTCATCCTCATGATGATTGAAACTAAGGCCGGCTAAGAGTGTCCACAATTAAATAGTCTTTTATACACAAATGCATAATGAGATATTATAAAAGATTTCATATACAAATGAATCATAAACAATAAAATGTTATAAAAAACATGTGAGTTTAAGTTTTTGAATAAAAATAAAAATCTATAACGTTGATTAAAAATAAAAATAAAAATCTATAAATATATTATTTTAAGGTTTTGATTGAAAATAATGTTATTCCATTATATGAATTGGGATCATGTTTTATTATTATTATATTCTTAATGAATTAATTCTTTGAAAGATTCGTTAGTGATATTATAACGATGGTACAAAAGATATATATATATATATATATATATATATATATATATATAT